TTCGTCATGAAAGCGATAATGCATAGAATGATTCAACAACGTGGTGCCTGCAAGGGGCAAATAACGCGCACCCTCAACAGTGCTGTGGAGTTTTCACAAAGATGTGAGAATGTGGAAACATTGCAATTCAAGCTGGAGCGTTTGGCCGCCACTTTCAACCACTTTATGGAGCTCTCAGATGATTTAATGGAATTTCACTTGGAGGAGGCATATGAAGACCCTGGATTGGACATACCCGAATACGAAGACAAGTTCTACGCCGCGCATGCTATTTTTAGTAACGCCATCAAGGACATGGGAGGTCAAGATCATGGACAGGACCAGTCGAACATTGTACTTTCAAGTACAGTGGAACGCCTATTTGAGGGACAAAACAACCTTTTGGAGAAAATTCATACTTCATCGGGAACTGTTGATTTAAGGTTTGAGAAAATTCGGATTCCCACATTTTCTGGTAAATATGAGGACTGGAGCCAGTTTAGTGATCTGTTCTTAAGCTCAGTAAATAGTAACGAAAAGCTCTCCAAGTGCCAAAAGTTTCATTATCTCAAATCATATCTGGAGGGAGAAGCACTGTCCCTAATTAAACATATTGCCGTCTGTAATGATAATTACCAAGACGCATGGGAAAAATTAGAAAATCGTTATAATAAAAGGTCGCTTATCGCTCGATCGTTTGTTCAGAATTTTTTATCGTTGCCAACCGCTAACAATTCGAATATTGCAGAATTACGCAAGGTAATTGACTCGGCCGACGAATGCATTCGAGGCTTACATGCGCTGAACTGTGACAGCCGCGATGTATGGCTCATTCATATTTTGCTGTCAAAGTTAGGTTCAGAAATTAAACAAGCTTGGGCCAACTGCAGTATATCGGCCACTGAAGACATCACCATAGATGATCTGTTCGCCTTTCTTTTCGCTCATTGTGATACTTTGGAGTCTTGTCAGGATTTACCCGCAATGCAACCCTCAAGACCACCCCAGAGTAGACGCCGCCAAGCCGCCTTTCATGCCAGTGGATCAACTCAGTCGTCTCGCGAATGTATATAGTGCCAAGGACAGCATTCTATATATTCATGCAATGAATTCAAGGCACTGGATGTAGTAAGCCGCCGCACCTTCGCCAAGGATACAAAATTATGCTTCAACTGCTTGACTCGATCGCATCAAGTCAGGGATTGTAATTCATCGAACACTTGCCGTCAGTGCAACGCTAAGCATCACACGTTAGTACACCCGATTGAAGCAAGATTTAGAGGCATTCTGGTGTCGGACGAACATACACAGTACCAACGCATAGTTTGGAGGAAGGATAAAAACGCTACGCTGGATCATTATCGACTGTTGACAGTAACATATGGATTAGCTTCATCGCCGTTTATTGCAGTTCGAGTTCTTAAACAGCTCTCGAATGAGTATGCCGAATTGTATCCCACCGCTGCTGTCGTGCTCAACAGAGACGCGTACGTTGATGATATTTCTACTGGATGCGACAACATCAAGGATCTCATTGCACTCAAAGATGAATTGATTCTGGTTCTTAGCGAAGCTCAATTCAAATTGCGAAAGTGGAGCTCAAACTGTTACGCCCTTTTAAAGTTGTTGCCAAAAAAGATTTGTGAATATCCACCAGAGGATTTAAAGGAAGACCGCTCATTTCGATTTGTTAAAGTCCTGGGATTGTGTTGGGAACCAAAACCGGACTATATTTTCTTCAAATTAGAAACCCCCGCATTTACAACTGCTCTTACTAAACGCATATTGCTTTCAGAACTAGCCAAGATCTACGACCCGCTGGGTTTGCTTTCGCCAACTGTTGTTTTTCTAAAGATCCTATTTTAAGATAGTTGGCTAAGTTCTGTCGATTGGAATGAAGTACTACCGCAGCAATTATGTACACGATGGCAACAGTTTGTATCGGAAATGCATTTATTGGAAACTTGTCGAGTTCCTCGCTACATATCTGCACCACATCAAGCTGATGCATCATCTCAAGCGTATGCTGCCGTCATCTATAGCCGCGTCGAAGTCAACAATGGATATGCTGTCAAACTGATTATGGCTAAAACTCGCGTAGCCCCTATTAAGCCTATCTCTTTTCCGCGACTAGAGTTAAACGCAGCTCATTTACTCTCTAAACTGATTTATCTGGTCAAGCAGTCATTAACTGTTCCTATTTCCAGAATCAATTGTTGGTCAGACTCTGAAATAGTCCTGCATTGGCTATCTTCTCCGCCTAGGACTTGGAACACCTATGTTTGCAACCGCACTGCTGAAATTCTAGAGGTTTGCCCACGCAGCTGCTGGCAACATATTCGAAGTGGTGATAATCCCGCAGACTGCGCATCGCGAGGAGTACTGCCAAAGTACTGATAGTCAGCTACTGCCTTCGCTTCGTTCATCGTCTTCGTGAGAGGAATCGACTTTCACCATTCCTATCGGCGTGGGAGCTACAATATGCACGAGCTAAGATCTTTACGCACGCTCAAGAGGAGTTCTTCAACGTGGAGTACAAGCAGTTAACTACCGGACAGCCATTGTCGAAGAAATCGAAGTTGATTCGCTACACACCCTTTTTAGACGAGCAGAGAGTAATGCATGTTGGTGGTCGCATCGATAATTCTATAGCTACTTATGACGCAAAGCATCCCATTCTCCTTCCTAAGGAATCTCCAATAGCTGGTCTGCTAGTTCGCTATCAACATGCTGCATTGTTACACGCTGGAGTCGAATACACGTTTCATAGTCTACGCCAAAGGTATTGGATTCTAGGAGCTCGGAACCTCGTCCGCAAAACTGTATTCAATTACAGAACTTGCTTTCTGCAGCGAAGACACACGAGTTCTCAACTTATGGCTGATTTACCGGAGTTTCGAGTTCAACCCGCCCGTTGTTTCCTGCACACTGGATTGGATTATGCTGGACCTGTGTCAATCAAAACATCGACAGGCCGGACACCAAGATTTGGCAAAGCTTAGTTTGCGATCTTTGTCTGCCTATCTACAAAAGCGATTCACATAGAATTGGTCAGCGATTTAACGACATCCGCCTTTATAGCCGCTTTCAAACGCTTTTGGTCTCGACGTGGACCTATATCGGATTTATACTCGGACAATGGAACGACTTTCCATGGAGCCAAAAGAGATTTAGCTGAAATGCAACGAATGGTAATAGCTCAAAGTCAAGATGAAGAAATTTCAAGCTTCATGGCCAGCCACGAGATTAATTGGCATTTCATTCCGCCATCTGCTCCCCATTTCGGAGGCATTTGGGAGACTGGTGTGAGATCCATAAAGCTGCACTTAAAACGAGTCATTGGCAGCAGTGCCTTGACATTCGAGGAGTATTCGACCCTGTTAATTCAGATTGAAGGGCTTCGGAACTCTCGCCCTTTAGGCGCACCTAGCGATCACAGTCTTAACCCGCTAACTCCTTCTCATTTTCTAACAGGTCAGCCTCTCACTTCGGTACCAGAACCATCTTTCCTGGATGTAAACATCAACAGACTGCAGCGCTGGAGACAACTACAGGCCAAGGTTCAAGGTTTCTGGAAACGTTGGAATCTCGAGTATCTCAGCACGCTTCAACCTCGCACGAAATGGCATCAAGATGCTCCAAATGTTGCCGTGGACACACTGGATGCTAGGACGAGTCACCGAAGTTCATCCTGGCCAGGATCAGAGGAATCTACAAGCGCCCTATTACGAAAATTGCTGTGCTTCCTTTGAACTGAACCGTCGTTCAGGGGGGCCGGTATGTTGAGAAATAGTTCGTCTTTATTTTGCATTTAAATAGTATTACATTTGCTTCTTTACTTGTTAATTAATTTCTTATTATCGTACCTATTTTTGCGCACATCATTGTCTTGTTTACCATTTGGGAGCTTTAAGCTCACACGCATAGCCGAAATTGCAGTGCAATGCGTTAGTATTAGAACATCACGCGATCGTTTTTCAGTTCTTTTTCTGCACTTTTTGCAAGCCGGCCGCATTCTCTTGTTGACATTAACCGCAACCGCTCGCTGATAGCAACCCCGCTTAAAACCATTGTAAACCCGCTAAATAGTGAAAATAAATGCATAAAACTATAATAAAAACCATAATACAGTCCACTATTCATACACAATCAATTATATGGCAGCTATAAGATATAGTCGGTCAAGAAAAGAAGGGTGTGTGCAAAGTTTCAAGACGATAGCTTTAAAACTGAGAGACTAGTTTGCGTAGAAACAGACAGACGGACCGACTGACATGCTCATATCAACTCAGGAGGTGATCCTGATCAAGAATATGTATACTTTATAGGGTCGGAGATGTCTCCTTCACTACGTTGCACACTTTTGGACAAAATTATAATACCCTCTGCAAGGGTATAAAAACCAAGTTTTTGATTAACATTTACAATACATAATTTTCATTTCAAATTTACTCCATAAAGTAATTGCTGGCTGAAAAGAAACTAAAAAAGTTGTATTTTCTGCCTGTCCGGATTTCGTTGTCCGCTACTGAATATACTTTATAGGGTCGGAGATGTCTTCTTCACTGCGTTGCACACTTTTAACCAAAATTATAATACCCTTTGCAAAGCTAGAACCAAGAAAGGACGTCCATACTAAAAGTTTTAAGTAGATAGCTTTAAGACTGAGACCCTCGTTTGTGTAGAAACAAACGAATAGACGAACAGACAGGCAAACATTCTTATAAGAAGGGTATACAAAGAATGACAATTTTAATCACAAACTTGAGTTTGTATATGCAAATATTTATTCAAAAGGCACATCAAAAAAGATGCCGTTGCGCATGGTTTGACCCAAAATCTAACATGTCTTACAGTCTCCGAGATGTCGGCATTGATACGGATAGATGAATGGGCAGACAAACATAAAATATGTCCTTGTAAATAACATGTACTGGTATGAGTAAAATTAAGAGTTCCTTAGGAATTACAATTTATAATTAATTACCTTTTTATAATTAAGTTTTTATAGTTAAAGTTACCTGTAAATAATTTCGATCCATTGGTGTTATTACTTTAAGATCAAGGGTAGAACCACACGACTGTATAAGCAACAAAACCTGCTGATTTGAGTACCATTTGACATCTTTTCCGGCAATTTCAACCAGAAAGTCTCCCTCTTTGATGCCGCCAAGCTTTAGTTACAGTTAAAAAAAATAAAAATTTTTCCTGCATAAAGTTACCTAGTTTTATACTTACATCAGCAAGTGAATTTATTTTTACGTTTGAAATAATGACAGGTGAGTCCCCACGGACATGGAAACCAAAATTTTCCAAATGTTTACTTGAATCATCTTCTTCCTCGTCATCTTCCAAAGGTAATGATAGATCAAAGGTACTATTATGATATGTAGAGGAACCCTTTTGTAGACGTATATATCGTGGTGCTGTCCAGTGGCGACGTGCAGAAAAAATTGCAATTGGTCCTAGTTGCTTAAAAGGGTCCTCTACTTTATGCGAAGTGAAGTCCGGTCCCGTTAAAGATAACGTAAATTTTGAAGATGCTACTGAAAACTGTTTTAGATTAAAAATGTTTATCTATGATTTACGTTACCTTCTATAGCTTGTTCCGAAACATCATAGCACTCGTCGTCTAATGTATTTGGTTCCTCAAGAAATTTTAATTTTTCGAATTCTTCCCTCATCTTATAAAAAGCATCTTGAATAACTTGAGTAAGCGATTTTTTATTCTTTAAAGTAAGTAAGTGTAAGTGTTACTGTATTCTGAATTAAATAAACTTTAGAGTTCACCTTTAAATAGCGACACATCCGCTGAAGACGTTGCGCTTCGTCGTAACTTGCCCAAGCTTCTTTAAAATGCATGTGTTTCAGAGAAATAACAGAAGCGGTGCTCTCTTCTATTTTCTTGCTTGTGCCCATATCGACCTGTGTCTCAAAATTCCCTTTGATTGGATCTCTCAATGATGTATTGTGCCTTATTCGGGCGGATAAGGATATGTTATATTCATGCGACGTATCAATACTGCAAGCTTTATAATAATGAGCAAACGCTAGAAAAAATAAATTCACATATATATGATAAGCATTTATTCAATATTTCATTATTTTGTTAATAGCCAAGGGTTAACACAAAATGTATTTTCCAATTAAAGACTTTTGTTTTTATAGAGTTTACTTCCTAATTCAAATAAGTCAAACTTGGACCTGGTGTTAGGTTTTCCAAAAAATTTAGAAACTTAAATTGATAAAAAACAAGAAAGGAAAGCTAACTTCGGGTGGAGCCGAAGTTGATAAAACCGGATATATATCGCAAACATCGGATATAGTTGGACGATCCTTATGAGAATATCATAATAAAACCAATTAATTACAACAAAATATCTAAAAAAAAGTCCCAAGCTTCTATCTTCAAAAAACCAAAGTTGGTATTTCTACCAAAAACCGTTTCCGATCGATCAGTTATATGGCAGCTATAGGATATAGTCGGCCGATCCTTATGAAATTTGGCATGTCGTAATATTTTGTCAAAAATAGCTTTCATGTTAAATTTGAACTCTCTAACTCTGAACACCAAAGTTATACCATTTCCGATCAATCAGTTATATGGCAGCTATAGGATATAGTCGGCCGATAGTTGGTATTTCTACCTCAAACCATTTCCGATTGTTCAGTTATATGGCAGATATAGGATATAGTCGGCCGATCCTTCTGAAATTTGGTAGGTTGGATCAACTGATCAAAAATAGAATCTGTACTAAGTTTCAGCTTTCTGTATTCAAAAACACGAAAGTTGGGTAATTTCCGATCGTTCAGCTATGTAGCAGTTATAGGTTTATTTATAGTTACAGTTAGTTATAGTTTATTTATTAAGCTAAAGTATGGATATATCGCCTTAGTTGGTCGCATGCCGACTCTTTCTCGGCCGCTCGACTTCAACGGGCCTATTTTAAGAGAGCTTTAGCTTCGCAATCACTATGTCGGGCCGCCCTCTCCACTATCGAGAGCTTTAGCTTCGCGTATGTCTAGTCGAGCCGCACTCTCTGTCCATATTTTTTAGTCACTGCTTAGCACCATAAACTAGATGATCACAATGGTTGATCCCAGTTTCATCTGCCTGCAGCATAAAAAAAATATAACGTACTATATAACGTATTGAATTCGTCTTTCATTTCCCGGCATTGAAAACTCTCAATGACCAAACAGATATAGTAGGCCGATTCTTATAAAATTTGACGTGTCGAATAATTTTGCCAAAAATAGCTCTCATATAAACTCTCTCATATTTAATTCTCTAACTCTAAAACAGTGCACAGTGGTTCGGCTTGTATGGAGCCGCGGTCATAATTACTTATAGTTGTTTTATTGCTACAAAATTTTGACCAAAATTCTATAAAAATATTATAAACATATACACACAAAATTTTTCATATAGAACGTCTATATCATATAGCTATCATAGGAACGACCAGTTAGAAATAAGAATTTAGTATGGATAACTTTTTCATTTTTCCAGATATGTTGCGTAAACTCAGATTATGACTTCGGTGTGGTTTTATACATACTTACCAAATTTTATACAAATCTGACAACTATTGCATATAGCAGCCATAGAAACAGTCAGTTAGAATTAATCATTTAGTATTGATAACTTTTTCTTTTATGTTGAAATTGTATACTTTTCAAACTCTGCTCATCATTCATTTTATCAAAAAAATAATAAATTAAACAATACAAGATTATTATAAACATATTTATTTCACAGCTATGAACCAGTCGACATAATAAGAATCGCCTTTGAAAATGAAAACAAAAATTTAAAATAAAGCGAAAAAATTATTATAACTAATTGAAAAAAATTAATATAAAGTGTAGACAATTACAAAAGACGAACACAAAGACGCATTAGATACACAAAAGACGAAAAAAGGGCTACGCTGGTATAATTTGGCCTTGAAAAAAATAAGAAGTCATGTTAGTATATTAACGATTGTTAGTTAGTATACAAAGAAATATGTTTCACAAAACATTTATTTCACAAAATACACAAAATACTCCGATGCGCTGCAGAAATGAACACGTGTTCTTGCTTTTAACGGTTTTTCTAGAATATACCATTAGGTTGCCAGCGAGAACCGGTTTGCAAACTTGAATCAACGCAATTATACGGCTTACATAAACAGCTTGTCTTTAAAACATCGCAGTTTTAAAGCTATCGACTTGAAACTTTGCACATAAAATTTTTTCTTTTGCACGCGGTATATAAGTCGGAACGACCGGGATCGGCCGATCGGGTATAGCTGCCTTATAACTGATTGAGTGGAAATGGTATAACTTTGGTGTTTTAAGAGCAGTGGGGGCAAAACGCACACGTGTTTAAAATTTTCGATTTTTTGAAAATAAAAAAGGTATAAAACTTCTTAAAAGTTCAAATCTCTAATTGCATGATTTTATTTTTGTTCTTCTTTACCCACATATTTTACTAAGAAAGATTTTTCTTTCTTACGTAAACTTAAATTTGGATTTAAGGAACAGATTAAAAAAATATTATTAAATTATTTTATATAATGTAGGGATCTAATCAATGTGCCTGAAGTAGAACACCAACACGTTGCTTTCATTAGTTTTTTTATACTTCTTTTATAATTCTTAAGTCGGAACGACCGGGATCGGCCGATCGGGTATAGCTGCCTTATAACTGATTGAGTGGAAATGGTATAACTTTGGTGTTTTAAGAGCAGTGGGGGCAAAACGCACACGTGTTTAAAATTTTCGATTTTTTGAAAATAAAAAAGGTATAAAACTTCTTAAAAGTTCAAATCTCTAATTGCATGATTTTATTTTTGTTCTTCTTTACCCACATATTTTACTAAGAAAGATTTTTCTTTCTTACGTAAACTTAAATTTGGATTTAAGGAACAGATTAAAAAAATATTATTAAATTATTTTATATAATGTAGGGATCTAATCAATGTGCCTGAAGTAGAACACCAACACGTTGCTTTCATTAGTTTTTTTATACTTCTTTTATAATTCTTTTAGACTATAATTCGATCGACTAATTCCGCTCTCAACACGCGATCCGCATAAACCCTCATAACTCGCTGAAAGAGCAATGAGAGCACAAGAGAGAGAGAGAGCCAGAACCGAAAACAAGCAGCAACACCGTAAGTTTACAGCTTATATATACATACAATAAGTAGCAATCCTGCTACATTCTAAGATCCTTTGATCTTGTGATATTTTACAATTGATTTATACATCTATTTGATTAGAACCTATTAGTTACTTAATTACAAAAATTTACATAATATAATAATAATGTTCTGACTACTCAAAAGACTTTGATATCGAATACGTGACAATTGCAAACCTTCAACATCTTTAATTAAATACCTATCATTTTTAAAAACTTAGATTTCTTGCAAATCCAACCACACAATAAAAATTTTTAACCACGATATAATCACCTACCTTGTATTTTGAACTCTCTTCCTTTTTTTTTCATCTTTTCTTTTTCTTTCATTGTCTTTTTGTTTTTTCTTCATTGTCTTTGTTTGAGACTCTGTTCCTTTTTTCCTTATTTTGTCTAAATTCCTAACATTATCGGTATTATCTAATTCTTCTAACTTTTGTCTTAATTCATCTACAACCTCTCCTTTTTGGGCAATTCCAAATAAAATTTTGCTCGGAATTTGCGCAATGCTTCTCTGCTTTGTATTGTTTAACGAAAACTCAACATCTTCAATGACTGTATCCCAATGCAATCCCTTTTCTGAGTCTGCCAATTTCGCTATCATCGGCTCGATTAATTCTTTCCACCTGCTCATTAGCTTGAGGTTACCCTGTTGCTATTTTTACATGCTTAACATTATAATCTTCGAGAAATTTCTTAAAATCCTCAGATGTAAAACAACTGCCCCTATCCAAGACGATACAAGTCTACTATACGATCTAAAATAACCTTTCAATGATAACTTCAATAACTATAATAACTTCATTTGTGTTTGTTGTTTTTGTTGCATATAACCAAAGATTATAAAGTACATAGATGGGACATCAGGGCCCAAAACGGTCAACTTTTTGCGTCGAGCTTGTTGGTGAGGGGGGAACGCACATATGTACATACGATTCTATTTTTAGAACTCTTTCCATGTATCCGTCAACAAAAATGTGAACCTATGTGTGTATGTGTGACTGCTCGCACGACGGAGTAAAAATGTTTTGGCTTCCAAATTTCAATTTCAATTTCTCGTTTCTGTTTTCGATGCGCCGATGTGGTAGTTGGTAGAACAAATAGTATTTTTGATCGCCGCAGATCGAGACAGGATGGTAGCGTAATGCATAGAGTAGTTACTCTATGTGTAATTTTTCTGTGTTAAAATCCTCGTAAGGACTTTGAACTTTTTCTTTCTTTTATAATAATTATTTTTTTTTTATTTTTCTTTAATTGTAATATTTATACCCTTGCAGAGGGTATTATAATTTTGTCCAAAAGTGTGCAACGCAGTGAAGGAGACATCTCCGACCCTATAAAGTATATATATTCTTGATCAGGATCACCTCCTGAGTTGATATGAGCATGTCCGTCTGTCCGTCTGTCTGTCCGTTTCTACGCGAACTAGTTTCTCAGTTTTAAAGCTATCGTCTTGAAACTTTGCACACACCCTTCTTTCCTTTGCACGCAGTATATAAGTCGGAACGGCCAGGATCAGCCGACTATATCCTATAGCTGCCATATAACTGATTAATCGGAAATGGTATAACTTTGGTGTTTTTAGAGTTAGAGAGTTCAAATTTGACATGAGTGCTATTTTTGGCAAAACATTACGACATACGAAATTTCATAAGGATCGGCCGACTATATCCTATAGCTGCCATATAACTGAACGATCGGAAATGACCCAACTTTCGTGTTTTTGAAGATAGAAAGCTGGAATTTAATACAGATTCTATTTTTGGTCAGTTGATCCAACCTACCAAATTTCATAAGGATCGGCCGACTATATCCTATAGCTGCCATATAACTGAAGGATCGGAATTGACCCAACTT